TCCTGATGCACCTATCAATCAAGTCTTAATGATGGTTGTGGTCTGTGCACACCAATGACGATGGCTGGTGATCAACTATGTTAGAACTTAGAATGAATGTAGGAAAGCTTTCCTTGAGTATTGGTTCCAACTGCCATGATCTTGAATAACATCAAATCACAACACACAAACAATTGTCTAATCACTAATCAAAGATTAACAGAAGCACAGAAAACTTACCATACAAGCAACCGTATCATTCATACAGGATGTGGAATGATGAAGACAATAATCCATACGGCACCAGCTTTGAGCGCCGAGATTCAATAACTTCTTCAAATGCTGTCCCAAACTCACCTGGATCTCGTAAGTTCTTGTCTTTCATTTTTGCAAATTTGATCACTTTGTATCAAAATGTTTTCTGTTTTCCTGGGCTATGCGCCAGGTGCTGAGTCTGATGCTGACTCCGAGGGCTGGGATATCGTAGAACATGATTTTGGTGGACCACGCACTCCTTCCACCATCAGCGAAAACCAAGATAATGTGCCAGAGCAGCGCAATCTAAGTTATGATCCGAGTGAGGCAGGAAGTGATGAGGATTATGGCGAAGCGTCTCAGGCTACAAGAAGGCAGAAGAAGGGGGGGTACGATAGTCGCATTGAACAAATTCTTTACGAGAACCCGGAACTCCCTATTCTGATTGTTGATGCCGGGAAGAGCTCTGAGAGTGGTGGGAAATACATTGTGTATACGATTCGAACCGGGGTATGTTAACTAGCTAGTTAAAATAGACAAGCTAACAATACTGTAGGATCTTGAAGTGCGTCGTCGCTATTCCGAGTTTGCCTCTTTAAGAGATGCCCTCTCCAGGTTACATCCTACTTTGATCATTCCACCTATTCCAGAAAAGCATACCATAGCAGATTATGCGGCGAACCCAACCAAAGCAAAGGTGGATCAACAAATGATAGATCTTCGAAAGCGCATGTTAGCTGTCTTCTTGAACAGATGTAGGAGAATGGATGAGGTACGGAATGATGGGGTTTGGTGGAGATTTCTGGATCCAAATGCAAGTTGGGTAAGTCAGCGATCTTTCGTATTCCACCACCGTTCTCATTCTAACTCTCATTAGAACGAAGTATTACATTCCCATCCTATTGCATCAATCCCAAAATCCAACATGAAAGCCCCACCACTCGACCCCGCCAACCCCACACCTGCTCACGCATTCCTACCTGTGCCTGCATCCTCTGCGAAACTCAAGGCAGCTTCTACATCTACTACCAATGCTCAAGGTATGATAGCACAACCTTCTGAGTATGCCGCGAGTCCTTCCACCGCGGCGCATTCTACAGCCGGACCGCAAGTCTTTGGCAGAATCCCTCCGGAAAGTGCGAATTTGAGTGAGCAGGATTTGGACCCATACTTCATAAGCTTTGAATCTTCTACGAAGGACTTGGAAGCATTGTTGACCGGACCTATTGAACGAGTGAATCGGAGGACATTGACCCATTTATCTTCATTGTCAACTGATTTGGCGGAACTTGGCGCTAGATACAATGGATTTTCGCTCTCGGAGCCGTCGGCATCTCTTGCAGCAGCTATCGAAAGAGTTGGTCAAGCTGTTGATTCTTCGTACATTGCGACCGAGGAACTCTCTGCTTCCTTAGGTGCGACCTTTGCTGAGCCCATGCGCGAGAGTGCACAATTTGCTGGTGTAGTGCGAAGTGTCTTGAGATATCGCGTTCTGAAGAGGGTTCAACAAGAAATGACCAACGAGGACCTTGCTAAGAAGAGAGTTCTTCTAGAGCAGTTGGAAAGAAGCGAAGCTGAAGCAAAGAGAATTGACCAGTATCTAACCAATAGTGGAACTGGCAATGTACCGCGGCGGTCAAATTCGTCTGCAAGAGAACCGCCACAAGTAAGACGTGAATCACCGCATGATGATACGGCATCAATTGATTCCGATTTTCCTCCGACTCACGGCGATACTCCATCTGCTTCTCAAGGAATCCCTCAACAGGAAGAAATTCCTCCTACTCATCGAAAGAGTTCCAGTGGAAATTTCATCACAAACAAGATCTTTGGACGTATAAGTCATGCAGTTCATGGCGTTGTTGATGCTGACCCGGAGCGAACACGGAGGGATCAAATTAGCAAGACCAGAGAGGCAATTTCACATTTGGAGCAAGCTCAACTTGCGTCCGCACAAGATGTCAAAGATGCAAGTGCAGGTGTTCTCAAGGATTTGTCGAGGTTTCAAAAGGAGAAAGAAGATGATTTGAAGAGATATATGGTATGCGTCCACGTCATTTTACAATTCCTTTTTCGCATACCCACAGTAAAGTTGCGACGGACATACTAACCATATTCACAGCTTGCATACGCCAGAGCTCAAATTGAATGGGCTAAAAAAAATAAGGAAACTTGGGAGGAAGCCAAACTCGAAGTGGAGAAGATAGATGATAACTAATGCGGAAGGAATGAGGGCTTCATGATGATCAGTGAGGGATGATAAAGTTAATCAAAGGTAGCTAGTGGCAATGGTGGTATTCTACGGGTGGTAATATTGATACGGGTTGGATCAGTGGGTATGAATAAAAAGGAGTTGGGGAGGAGTGTTGTGTAATTAGGAACAAGGAAAGGTAGCTCTGCAAGCGCAGCCAACGAACAGAAATGATTAGAGATATACCCTTGAGATTGAGACTGAGGTTGACAGTAGCTGCGTGCATGAAATAAGTGAGATTTCTGTGTTACATATCTGACAACGCTGCAAGAGTCTAGCTTGTTCACAGAACTGCGCATGTAACAGTGAATAGATATCTGGAATATGGCTTGCCAAGATTGCCGTCCCATAGTCTGACGTTATAGGGAAAGGGGAGAGGCATGAAATCGAAAGTCACCCATGGCTTAGTGATCAGTTGGCTCAGGAATCAGTAGCATCAAGCGTTTTGACTCACACACTTGTATACAGCAACTCATAAGTAGCGCTAAGTCAAGAATGAAGTATATATTTAATTGTTCTACTTTGTCTCGCAGAACACCGACTCGCAGAGAAAACTAGAGAGAGAGAAATGAATGCTGAGAGCATGAGGTCACAATTTGATTGCGCACAATCTCAGGTGAAGAAAGGAAAACGAAGAACACTTTAGTGTGAGTGAGGACCGTGTTATGTTGAGATTCTTTTTTTGAAACTAAAACAGGATGTCATTATATCACATTTCTAGCTTTGAATCATTCTCTCTGATTAGGGGGACTCTTTCTCGGAGGTATCATTCGAATCTCTGGTGAAGCAGGTTCAAAATGTCAAAGTTGATAAGGATTAATAATGTAGCACACTCAAGATCAAAGCAGGCTACATATCCGATTGACTATCTAACAAGCTAACATTGATGATGATATGGAACCAAATGCCAAGTGTTTTAGACGCGTCTACTTTTCCCTCGATATCAGTCGACTCCACTTGAACCTGTCGAGTTTCTTCAAATCCAAGTTTCAATAGTTGTATTGAATGATAAGGAGCAAAGTTGAAATGTTGTGTCGAATCCAGACCTAAGTGGAAAGGGCAATCTTAAAAAGTATCCCCTTTTATAAAGTTTGTATCGGTGTGAGCACGAAGCACGGGATTTTTCCAAAAGTGGACATGTTGGGATGTTCCCAACATGACATTTTGAACCGATACAAACCTATGAAGACCTCAGGAGTTGTCTAGGTCTGAGACCTCACTACCTGAGCAGTAGTTCACATCTGAGGAATTTTCTTCCTGTGCGGATACATTAATGATAGTTGAGAATCATCTGTTCACATTCCTTCGTCTCGTAATCGTGCGAGCGACGGACAATGAAAACGATAATGGATTCGGCACGCCAGCTTTGATCTATGGCACATGTGTAATAAGCAATGAGTGCAGGGAAGTGAACAGCAAACCTACCCACTTTCTTGACCAAAATGCTCCATAGCAAGATGTTCTGAATTCCAACGCCCAAGAAGCAAAATCAAGCTTTCCAATAGTGTGGTAAGCATTTGGGTCCACTCGATGATGGATTCAGAAAAGCCAGCCCACACCACAAGCTAAACTTCGATCAATATTCTTCCGCGCTCTCCCAATGAAAGATCACATATTAGTTTTTTTGTTAATGTAGAAACAAGCTTTGAACGAAAGAACAAAAGAAAGGCTTGCAGGGAGAGTGGAAAGTGTTTATCCGCTTGTCAGTAAGATTGCGGGGTAGCTTTCTGTGGATTCGCGGGGACTGGGGTTTGGAGAAGACGGGGTGCTCGGGGTTGCAGGCGGCCGCTGTCTTGGTCAGCCTCTACATACATACCATAGGAGAAAAAAGAGGCCAAAATCATCACCCTGGACAATTCTATGATAAATCAATCGATAATTAAATCACAAAAGTTAATAATATTGAGTAAATCCTTGAATAATCTTCTACTATCAAGGTTTCTTAAACAATTAATTCTCTGGGTTGAAATGGAACAATGGAATTATTGAAGGGCTTTGCCGGTAGCCAATTCCAGCTTGTTTTTTTTCTCCTACGACAACTCAGCTACCGGTACCTAGATTAGTAAATGAAACTGGAGGAGCTTGGATTCATTTTCTACTTCAACCTGGGCCTAAAAACATAGTCTCGATGCTCATTTACCTGATACATGAAAAGCCATCAATTTCTCAAATTAGTTCATGATATATTGCTGGCACTGATCACTTGCAAATATGTTCGATTTCCCTCGTTACACACATCAGATGGGAGATAAATTCCAGGTTATGAGGGTCAATCTTTTACCGGGAACCATGCTTCTATACAAATTATTGGTCTATCAATCTCACGCCTCAGCTGTGCATATTCACATGGAAGCTCCGGTGAGGGTGAAGGTTACGTATGTGTGAAAGTGGATAAGAAGCTCTGGATAAGATTGAGCCATGCGCACAATCAATTCTACAATTTTTTTCGTTCTTGCCATACCCCGATTCACATCTCAACATCTGTCTCTGAGCATTGGAGCCCCAATCCGCAATCATGGGGATGTTATCCAAAGTTGAGGATCGCCCAACTCCTTCTCAAGTCTATAATTGGCGGGTTTATGCATGTTCCATTGTCGCTGGCTTTGCGGCTGTCATGATAGGTTATGATAGCGCATTTATTGGAACAACTATCGCCCTCCCATCTTTCAAAAAGGAATTCAATTTCGCCGCATTATCTACCACCAAGCTGAATCTTGTGAGCGCCAATATCGTATCATGTTACCAAGCTGGAGCATTCTTCGGTTCCCTCTTTGCGTACATTGCGGCGTATTTCCTTGGAAGAGCCCGAGGAATGGCTGTGTTTCGTGCGGTGTTTACAATTGGTGCTGCAATGATGCTTGGTGCAAATAGAGATCGTGGCCTGGGTCTCATATATGGAGGTCGAGTTCTTGCTGGTTTGGGCGTAGGAGGTTGTTCGAGTTTGGCTCCTATCTATATTTCCGAGATATCTCCACCCGCAATTCGTGGTCGATTGGTTTGCGTAGGTTTTGTCAGTCAATTGCATATTCAAGTTCTTGCTGACCTTTTAGATGTTCGAATTGGGATGGCAGATTGGTGGACTGGTTGGATTCTGGATTAATGTGAGACATACATTGACAATCGTTGAGTGACGGGGTTTAACTGATTGTCTCTGCAGTACGGTATCTCTGAAACTCTTTCATCTAACCACGAGCAATGGATAATTCCATTTGCAATTCAGCTCATTCCTTCCGGACTGTTATTACTCGGATCATTTTGGCTTCACGAAACCCCTCGCGTGAGTACATCGGCCTCTGAATTCTTCACTGTTTCCTCGCAATTACGTTGTCTTTCAAAATCATTGCTAATTCTTATTCCATACAGTGGTTGATGAGCAAAGGAAAACGGGATAAAGCTATCAAAAACCTATGCTGGATTCGAAACCTTACTGAAGATGATATCTACATCAAGGAAGAGATCTACGCAATCGACCAAAACATTGAATAACAAATGGCGGATGGTGGTCTTGGATTCTGGCAACCATTCAAACTCCTCGCGAGAAGCCGTAAAATCCAATGGAGATTTTTCCTTGGAGGTGCATTATTCTTTTGGCAGAACGCTTCTGGTATCAATGCTGTCAATTATTATTCTCCAACTATTTTCAAGAGTATTGGCATTATTGGTACCAACACTTCACTATTTTCGACCGGTCTATTCGGTGTTGTCAAAACTGTCGGAACTATCATTTACTTGCTGTTCTTGATTGATCAATTGGGTCGTAGGAAGCTATTGATGATCGGATCCATCGGTGGAGCTTTGTGCATGTACTACGTCGCTGGTTACATTGCAATTGCAAAACCTGCGGATCATCCAACAAGTTCCCTACCCCCTTCTGGTGTATCTGCCGTATTCTTTTTCTACTTGTGGACTGTAAGTATTCCAACCAGTTGAATACTCGATATCATACTGATAACTCTCCAGGCATTTTACACCCCAACCTGGAACCCAACACCCTGGGTAATAAACGCCGAGATCTTCGGCCAAAGTGTCCGAACGCTAGCTCAAGCACATGCCGCTGCCCATAATTGGCTATGGAATTTCCTCATCTCGAGATTCACACCTCAAATGTTCTCTTCAATGGGATATGAAGTCTACTTGTTCTTCGCATCATTGATGATTTGGGGTGCGGCTTTCGTCTTCTTCTTGATTCCTGAAACGAAGAACGTTCCTCTGGAGGCGGTTGATAGACTCTTTCAGCGCGGTTTGCCGGCGAGAAGAGCGCATGCAGTTGTATAGGCGGAATTGGAGCAGGAGGAAGAGGCATTGAGAGCGGGAATCACGGCGGGATTGGAAAAAGAGAGGACTACTGCACATGTCGAGAGTGTTTAAGATGGATGAGATGCGATGGGTTGGTGTCTATTCGGAGCTAATGACCAATTCATGGCTCGATTGTTGCTGCAGTAGTGAGAAATGATAATATCAAAAGCTCTGCATATTCTTGCCACTGCATCAATTGCCTTGAAATAATGAGATTCAAGTGGGGGATTATAGGGTGCTAATCTGTCAAGAAGAATACCCTCGATATGAAAATCAATGTATGTTCAGATTAGAGGGCATCCAGATGAATAGAGGCTCCCAAGCCATGGAGCTGTGCACTTCTTCTCTTTTCCCCCTACTTTCTATTCCCAAGCCCCAATAAGAATGCAATTCTCAACACCAACCCAAACCCGAGAATTCCGTAGTTAATCCTCTCCTCAGTTGACCACCCCCCAACACGAAAAAGTCCAACGCAATCCGCCTTGTAGATTCCCCAAAAGTGTCCTACATCACACACCAACATCGCAAACACCACGGCCTTCCACACAGAGTAATCACGAGTGAGTCTCAAGACCACCGCTTCGTTGATCGTGAATAGAACATAGAGAGCTGCGATATCAGTCGAGAGAAACTGTATCACGGGGTCCGGTGTAAGAGTTGAGGAGAGGGAGACAAAAGGTTTAGAAAGCGAAGAAGGTGCCGTGCCGTGGATAAACTTGTAGGGTTGGGAGTAGGCTAGGTAGGCGCCAGAGAGGGCCAGAATAGGTTCGATGTAGAGGAGGAAAACACGGTAGAAGGGGTGGATTTTGGAAATGCGAAAGTCAATTGATGGGGCCATTGCGAAAATTATGACAATGGCCGTAATGTTTTAGGGAAGGGTTGAAGGTGATAGGTTAAAGGTAGGTTATATTTGCAGCAGATGTGGTTATGAGCTTCGATGTTTACAAAGCTGAGACAGTGCGTATCACTTGAGAAGTCTGTGCTGCCGTAGATTTTCCGCCGTGTGGCACACATAAACCCACAATTTCAATGCTATTGCACTGAAAGCCATGCATGCACCACACTCCCGAAAATCTCGCGTCTACCAGTGCATCTACCAGTGGGTGTACGAACTGACGGGACACTGCAAAAATTGACTTGTGAATATCTCTCGATAGATCAAGTCGCATGTCCAAGAAGTTATTGCAATTGTTCATGGGAAATGAGACAATCGAACTATAAATTCTAATATTAAACAATTCGAGAGTGAATTTGTTAAATTAAAAGGTGATAGGTGGTCCGTCGATCAATGCACCCAAGAGTGGACTGAATCACGTAGGATAACGTATACTCGGAACTTTGGAAATCAAATCTCAAATACTTCAGCAATTCATCCGTATCTTTTTCTCAAGCCTTAATTTATACCATAATCACAATATCTTTCACGAACCTCAGTGCCTCCTGTGTAAATCATCCTTCAGGCTTGAGATTCCTTCTCATGTTGTTGTGGAACTGGCCTCTCATTGTTCAATTTCCTCCTGAAGAATCGACTAGTATCGCCCATTGGAAAATCGAGAAATAATGCTTCCTGGCAAATCAGATGTCCCACGGTATAATATCCAAACATCCCCGCTATAAAAGCAAAGGCTCCGGCAGTTTTCTTGAGTGCGGCTGCTGTTGCAACCTTGCCGTCTGCGGCGCAGAAGTACAGTACTAGGGCACTTCTACTTGGTCGGCCGGATTTTACCCGGGATTTTAGTCTCAATCATATATTATTCAATTCTTATTATTAAATCAACCATTTAATATTATACTTTAAATCTTTGATAATCTCTTAATCTATATATTAATATTAATATAATAAAATTCTATAAAAATAGTTTAATTAAATTTTCTAATATTTAATATACTAGTTATTTATTGTAATATAAGCCTCTATTCTATTTCTTATATTAACTTCTAATTTTATAAATAAATTGTTATTTAATATATTCCAAACTATTTGTAATACACTTTCTAATCTTTATCTAATATATTCCAATTTGCTTTTATTCTATATAATATTAGAAAACATTTTGAAAATATATATTTCTAGGTACTACTAGATATATTCTATAGGATTATGATTAGAACTATAAGGAGATCAAAAATCGATTAAAGGAATATTCCTAGTTTTAAATCATTCTAGTATTTTATTAATTCGATATATAAAAATATTATTCTATATAAATTGATATTTCTTATCTAATTCCTTTTAAATAAAAGCTAATTCTTTATTAAGAATCTTAAGATAAGAGTTAACATTATATTCAAACTTTTTATTCTCGAAATCCCTATTTATAATATATAGCTTGCTCCTTCTAATATTACAAAAGTCTCCTTAGATTATAATCTTTATATTCTTATTTGTAGAATAGATTTAGATTATATTCCAATCCCATTTCTAGTTTGAAAAGCGGAATATCTATTTCTGATTTTTTCTTTTTCCCTGCTCTATAAAGCACTCATTCAATTAGAAGACTAGCTCTTATTCCTCTACTATCTACTCCCTACAATTTAAATATTAAGCTAATCTTTTAATTATATGTTTTTTTATAAGTTCAAATCTCTTTCTAACTCTTTAATTAATTATTCCATAATTCTTTAAAATCCTTTTAATAATATTCCTTTTATAATTTAATCCACAAGTATTAATTATCTTCTAATATATTGATTTAAATTATAATCTTATATAGTATAATAGGACTTGTTTATTTCAATCTATATATAATCTCTTTTTAACCTTTTTAAATAAAGTCTTTTTGTTATTGTGTAATTAATTCATTTTAATAGTATAAGTAATAATCGATTTTCTTATTTCGAGGATATTCACAATTTCTTAATGATTATTGCTTACCTCTACCCTTCCCACTATGTTTTTGTGGTTATATGGATTCAATTATATATAAGGAATATTATTATAATTAATTGATTTTAATGGAATACATTGTAATAATATAATTAATATAATAAATATATAATAATTAGGGGAACACATCGAAAAACGCGTTCCGACTAAGTAGAAGTGTACGGTTGCTGTACGATGCGCTGACGAGAGTGAAGGCTAGTTGTACAAAAAAGAAGATGGCAATATAGACGAGGTTTCTAGAGTATTGATTAGATCTCAAGCAAAAGAATTTCTGCGGTAGAATATATAAAACATACATTGGAAGTGATCCGATCAAGAAAAATAAATTAAAGACAGACCACACTATTTCTGTCAGCTTGGTAGTTCCTCAATAGGCAGTCATGAAATCCTACATAAAACAAAGAATCCAAGGGCATTGTTATACTGTACAGTATCATTCCCATAGGCAGCTGATATCCCCAGAAAAGGAATGTCCAGTGCACCAAATCCCGCATAGAAAAGTCCAAATGCACTCAGGACAGTATAGCCATATGAATTGCCCCGAACAAGCTCCCACTGAGCAGAGATAACCATGCCTATACCTGCACTGAAAGAGGATTAAATCGATGAACTTTCAAGGAGAAAGAAGGGAAGGGAAGGGATTTTCTACCAGAAATTGAAATTCGCAACGAAAACATCTGCATTAGATAGCCCGCGGAATCCCATAAGAGCACAAGAGAGCGTTGTAAGAGTAGGCGCAAATGCTCCGATCGCTAATGCGGTCTGAATAAAGACACAAATAAGTTGATGATTGTTTAGGGACTTGGAAGACTTACCGGACTACCAATTGTGCTTCCAAAAGATTGTGGTATTACATGGATGGAATATCCTCGCAAGCTTTGGTCATTGTCCACGTCTTTAAGACAGCCACCCTCGATACCTATACTTCGAATTGTGTCAACCATTTTGAGACAATTGATCAAGCCTCACAACTCACGTAGATTTAAAGAAACAGTCAAACTCCGAAAATACAGCCACCGGTGTTTGTCGGGATTAGCCTCTTGGTCTGAAAATGCCAAATCCTGAACTTCGCAGACAAAAATAGTAAGGCTTATGTATATATTTTAATCGCAGATTCGACACATGAGCAGAGATTGAAACAGTCCAGACTGCGTTGCCAACAACCTGAAACTTTTCGTATATGAAAGAGGTTGAATAATCTCGATGAACCCAATATTTAGAATGTCCTAAACATCTGAATATGGTTGATACATTGGGAACCTTCTTGGGGTCATATTTATATGATACGAAACACTTGTTCGTACTCACATTGCCCAGTCCAAACGAAGATTTCGACATATACGCAGCCATGACATGCTTCTCGGCAATTATTTAGGCATATTCTCGTCAAGGTCAGAAGTAAGGATCCAGATAGATGATTGAAGGCCAATGCACTGATCTGATGTGGCGGATACACCAATCAATGCCTCGTCTGGGGAAATACCGGCTTCTTGGAAATGGGTTTCGTTGGAGAAGAGGTTGTGGAAACCTTGTATTAGTCAGCTTTGACAATATACAAAAAATCCCTTCACCAAATAGGTAGTAGACGACCGAACAAACAAACAGACTGATTTTGCGAAGCCTGCATCTTTAATATATACCTGGTAGTCTTATATCTGTATACTTCTAAGGAATCTTCTCTTCTGTCGAATACACATTTGCGCATTCACATGTTCCATAACTTGAGATCTTCATTTGTCTCTTCACCCCATTCGCTACTGATTGATTTTGCGCAAGAAAACTTATATCAATATGGTCATGGACTACATGTACCATTTTGAGAAGTCTTCAACCTGAAACGAAAACCATCGAGTGTCGTAGGAACATTTTTCCGCTATAGGCTATGAGGCTTGTAGAAAGCCGGTATGATGTTCTGTCGCGTAGGCTTGTGGCTGATCTTGGAAGGCCTCAAATCAAAGTACTACCGTAGTCATCAAGAAATCGAAAGAATGACACTGCACTGATTTATACCTTGGAGATCACGGATTCTTCTGTCCTTTCCGCTGTTGAACTAACTCGATACTGCCGATTTAGAAGCCATCTTGTCCATCACTAAACCATGTCATTTGGACCGTTTGCGCTGCCGAATAGTGGCGAAATATGAAGAAAAGTTATGACGAGGGTCAGATCAAAATCACCCAATTTCTCCTCGTCGGACAAAATTCAGAATAATGATTGTCTTATTCAATCAATCTCTATGTCGCGAATACCCAGTGAAATTCTCAGCCGGTTGCCTTCTGTGTCTCCCACTGGTCTTTACTCCTTTCGCTCTCTTTTTACAACTGCTTTGTCTTCCCTGGTATCAAAACCCCCGATCGATCGTTTTAAAGTTCGAGACGATGTTGCAGATTGAGATGACGCTGCCAGCGAAAGTTACCATGTGCCATTTGAGTTATGAACCGAAGTTTGTTGTTTTGCAAACATAGATCCACCTCCGCTGCTTGATGAAGCTTGATGATGAATAGAGCTCTTAATAGTTGTTGGGAGAGGTGTAGATAGATCTGATAGTGTTACATCAACTTGCTCAACAAAGTCACTTTTGTGCGCACTACCATGTCCATCCTGAACATCACCAACTCGTCCGCCTCGTGTCGTGGGTAGAGTAGAATCTCGAATAGAGCCGCGAACATTGACGCTTGGATTTTTGATTAGGTAGTTCCTCGCATTTTCTGCTGGTGATGGGTAAGGAAACGGAACCCTTTCTTTTTTCCAGTTAATTTTCTCTGCGACAAGCCCAACACTGAGTCAACTTACTGTCACCATACTCATAATACCAATTAAGATCTGCCATATAACCAGTCAAGTGAACATCCTCTGGATAATTCGCAACTGCCTGGTCGATCAGTTGCAAAGCTCGCTGCCGTAATTCCCGTTCGTATCCATGGCGTTGCGCAATGGTCCAATCTCTTGCACCCAAGTCCCGTAAATGGTTCTCGATTAATTCATTTGTTCGGATGACATACATATATCCTCGCGGGGGCACATTGTAAGTCATTTTGCACTAGACTGTTGATATTGAGTTTGCATGAAAGTTTGAAAATTTAAATGATCTAGGTATAGAATGGAAGTAAGTTTTCTCAGCCTGGCCAGTGGGCGGAGTGAATCCAGCTATATGAGAAAAGATGAGTCACTACCTACTTGAGTGAATTTCTTTTGGTATATCACTCAAAAGTATGCCCCAGCTGTAACTTTGTCTCTTAGAAATATACCATAACATGGCTTTCTTTAGGTTATTAAAAGTCAATTCAGCTCTTTTTAACTATAAGTATCTTTGCTAAAGGTGAATAAGGTAAAAGATTTAAAATATTTAAAAGATTTGTAGTAGTCGGCGATAGGTCTTCTTTGGGAGCAGCTTTCACATGACTTCTTCACCTGCTAATGAGAATCTAGATGAAAGTCGAATAAGGCCATTAAGAGACGAGGGATAGGACTAATAAGTTTATACAACTTCTTTCTTCAAAGATATAGCTACGAATTCGAGTTTGCACAAAAGAAAAGCTGAAAAGTCAATTACATTATAATACTTTGATAATGTTCAGGATGTACGGCTTTGATATGAGTTAGATGAAGCTGATTATATCAAAAACTACGCTCTATACCAACGGCCTTGCGATTAGTATATCGTAGGCCACTCAAGCTTGAAACCCTCTTTGGCTGACCAATCTGACTCGAGAATTTGAATGGTAGCGTGAGACACCTAGGTGTGAAAGACTGACAACTGAAAATGCCTCCCTTTCCGGAAGGGGGACGCATAGTTCACAGGCATGTACAGCATATCATGCTCTCCATAGCTTCGAAACTCGTCAATATTCTTGTCCCCCGCAATTGGTATTGGTCGGTCGTGATATTTCATTGCCGAATGAATCACTACCATGCATCCGTGTCTGTAAGCTGTGCGGCTCTTCAATTTGAGGTAAGTTTGCATGGGTATCAAAACAGACCCGTCGACCTGCGTTCAGAGCTACCAGAGATCACAAAATCTACCCCTCACCCATTGAAACTAGGAAATCTCCATTCTGATCAAGGAACACATGTTTCTGGTGAACAATGAATCAGGGTTTGTGAGATTGGTTCTCCATAAAGCCAGGCAATCTATTTGCGTGGCGACTTGTTGAATGCAACCAAACAGTTGAACCACTGGCATCAAGAGCAGAGTAAATGATGCTTGAGCTTTATTATGGATGATGATCAGAATGTTAACAATGGGGAGTAACGATGATCACATGCCCAGAATTGTTGCAGCACCTCTCCCTCATGAGGCCCGGTTGGTGGTGTCTCGGCTACCGGTCGGGGACATGCAGTGCAAAGACCTGCGGCCTCTTCGACCATTGCTTCAAAAATAGCATCAAATGTACCCTTGGAAGTTCTTTGGCCTGGGCTACAAGAATGAAAAAATGTTGAGTGGACTCACTGTCCTACATGGACGCTCGCTATCATTAGTCATCAAAAGATATACCTTCTCTCGATTCCACAGTCCAAATACGGCAGTCATTACAATGCGAGGCTCTGTATACCTACAATGAAAATATGTCATCTCAGGAAAAGTGATGGGACATCGAAGAAAGCAAGCAGCGAAACTTTTTTGATACTACGGGTACCACCTGATGGCGGAGCGTACTTAAGCTGGCCTTGGCAATTCCGCGATTCATCGTTTCGGAGAGAAAGTCTCAAGGAAAATCGCGATCTACTTAGAAGAATACTATAGACACTCATCTGTAGTACAGTTGGGGAACATCTTTCAGATCTCACCAGATCATTTCCATCAGGACCTAATTTCTTCCCTTCACTCCATTGTTGGTCGTCTGGCTAGAGCTGGAAGAAAGATGCATCTGCATTCTCATTTATAGCCAGACCGTTTCTCCAGACATTTCAATGAGTTCTACAAAGGAAATCTCAGCCAAGATGAAAAGTATTACAGCAATATAGAACCAGGATGACCAGAAGTTTGGACCTGCAGACTGGATGCAACTTTTCAATATCGGGAACAAAATCATTCTTCAAATGAATTCAGTGATTCGAAGTGTTCAAATGATCTCATTGTAATCGAGCAAAATAAAGATAAGAATGAAGTCCTATGGTTGTCGAACTGCAGTCCAAAGCATTGCACCTTCTGAACCTCGTGCAACTATCTTGAACGTTGCGAATTGAAATGCTCCACATGCCATTCACAGCCTGCTTTCATAACCCTTTTCACTAAATTGCATGTGATTCAGCAAACGCACAAGCACGTAATAAGTGTCACGACCGCTTGGTCCATGATCTAACGAACAGTAGTATCATGTATGCAATATTTGAGTTTTAGAGGCATTAACATCCATCATATTTGGAGGCTGTGTTGGCCATGAACTGCCTCTGCCTACCTACGCTTTGTACGCAATGAGAGCAGTTAGTCTCGGCCAGAGCATTTTCTTTTCCTACCGGTATGTCCATTTACCTCTCGTGCGGGGTATTTCTCTCATTTGCACCCTTTTCCATCGAACAATTACCTATTTCATGCACGGATTTAGATCTATTTGTCAATTAATCCCTACAATTAATTCCAATGCTAGGATTACACGTCATGATTGGACGTGAAGTATTGAAGAATTCGGACGGCGTTTCAGACAATTCTGGAATCTTCATGGCATGATACGATACGAATACATGAAGATCAGACGAAAAGATTTCAAACCATTATCATTCCCCCGGTGAAATGAGAATGTCCGAAAGGAAAAACGGACTCAGCCTCGTTAACAATCGAACGTTCAAGAGATTGTAAATACAAGAATATTCGTATGACGCTGCCATGACCTCTCTCCTCTTGAAAGATGGAGTCCAGGAACGCCTCGAAAGTTTGTAGTTACCCAAAGGGTCTCTATACTGCTAACACAGTCAGCAAACCAACATCGCTAGGACTTCCGGACATCTAGACCATCCCCAAAATCCGCATTTTTCATTTTTGAGTTTTTGGACTTCATTCGGATCCACTCCTTGCCACTGCTACTTTCTTAGTAAGTATATTTTACCTGATTTAGCATTAGGACATTATAGAATCCACATAGAGTATGACTCTTTGAAGGTTTTTATATACTAAAGAAAAATACTTCAAGAAGAAAATGAAATTTTTCCCTGGAAGGCTGGTCGTGTGATGTGTTGTACAAAATTTACAAGAACGGTGTGGAATTTCTATTACAGAAAGAAAGTTGGTACATTGCTTGGTCGTTGGCCTCGGCTACGAACCTTTGAATGTTGGGTTGGTACGTACCTATGGACGAGGGAGAGGGAGAGTACCGGTATGTACCAGTATTACAGTAAGACATTGAATTAGCATAAAATCGTATTTTTCCCCCTCTCGCCCCTGAATCTAAAATCTTATCTACTCGGAATCATTTCAAATATTCCAATACCGAATCCAGTAAGATAGATATACAGAGTAGATTGATTCGTATCGAGCGATGGGGTCCTGCCTCCTCAGTATATCAATGTCGATCATAAGCACTTCGATTAGTATCAAAATCAACAATCTCATCAATGATCACTCTGATAAGTAGCTGGTACTGTAGTACTGTAGCAAACCCAAAAAGGTACCCACTTGTCAAATTAACTTTTGGTTGATTCCACCTGGTGTTCCACACCAGCAACCAAACCGTGCACTTGCTATAAGCTCCAAAGTCCATATGCTCCATATGCTCCATAATCAAGTACATTTCTCAGCATTTCTCTTGGCTGGTGAACAGGGCTGACCAAATCCATTACCCATCCATGCTTCATTGCTTCCTTCCATGCTTTACCATGTGCACACTCTCGCACTACAATGTACCACCAGGTGCTACGCCACAGACCATGACCATTGTGACCTATCAGCGCTTACAATGGATGAATATAAATGCAAAACCCGGCCACAATCACTATCATTCATCAATAATCCAAAAATTTAAGGTTTATAGCATCGGATTGATTAAAGAGCTGTCGTGTCCTGCCACTTCGTACTCGTCCCCCCATAGAAAGAGATCCATTCATCACTGCTATCATCATCATAATCATCTCATTTATTTATTCTCCATTTTTTGTGCCCAATTGTCTATCCCAATTCCACACAGCGACACATAGATCAATCACTCGATTCCGTATATATATCATAACCTACCTCTTCTTGTGGCTAATCTCTCGCAACACATTCGTCGAGTAGAGCCTAGTCCTTCATCTGCCTCCCAATCTACACTCGATAATAGCAGTCCGACGTAGCTAATCAAATTACAATCATGTCCGGGGCTTTAAGTCTGCTCGCAGAGCTCGACAAGGAGACCAATAAAGCTCCAAGTCGAAAGAACAGTCAAGCAAAACCAAGGACGGGCAGATCAACAGCAAATTCGCGATCATCTTCAGTCCAATCGTAAGTTTTTCAATCCCTTCCCCGCAAATTAACTCACACTGATAACTAACACTGAGTGCAGAAGGGGACCATCACAAGCACAACGTCCAACATCAGCCCCGGGGCCCAGTCCAGTAATTCCACCTCAAAATATAAATCCTCGTCGTACTACACAATCTACAAATGTCACCCCTCGAACATCGTTTGAACTTGGTACTGAACGATCGAGATCCCAAGGCCCGGATTCTCGAAGAGTTTCATTCGCAGAGGCCCCGCGACCACAAACGAGAACTTTAATGATACCATCGAAAGAAAATATGCCATCGTCAGGGTTTCCATACAATATCAAATTGAACAAATATGGTGTTTCCGAGCACGAATGGTCACAATTCACAAAGGAAATAATTGAAACTCTGCCACCGTCAAAGAGCTTTAGCTGGTTATGGAAGCGTGGGAAAATAACTGCCATAATCAAAAGAGACCTTCAATACGAATCAGAATTGAAATCAGCTTTGAGGCAATGGAACAAAGGATTCAGGCGTAGAGGCTTCCAGGTGTACCTGGAAATTCCAGTCGAAAAGGATTTGACCGATGACGAGGTCTCGGGAGATACTAAAGAAGAAAAGAAACAAGCCAAGAAGGATGCCAAGAAATTCCGATTTATAATAGGTGCTGGGAATTCATCTTCTTCTTCCGTTTACTCGAGGTCGAGTTTGGCGGAAAGCGTTAGTAGGGAAGATAAGGCTAAACCCGCCCCAATTTCGCGAGAGGAAGAGGATCAAATGAATCAAAAGTTCCCACAAGCTCAGACAAACGGGACTGGGACTGCAACCAGTACAACAGAAGGTGGGCATGAAGAGGATGAATCTTCAATTGAAAAGGCTCCGATTCTTTCGCCATCAACAGACACCGTAGACCACGCTTCCGGTGCGGTGCCCGTGTCATGAATTTCGAGTCATCGAATTGTAAAATATGAAGGGGAGATTCACGACATATAACGAAGATGAATGATGATGGTTTGGTTGGCGTTTAGGATTTGAATCATTCTTACTACCGATTTGGACATGTTTAATGAACGGGTAGTTTGAGGCTCCACTCATGGTATTGGATCAACGGAACGGGTGAATTTGGACTTCGTCATGTCATGTACATTGCTCCCTGATGCATAGCGAGATTTGTACACCGGAATTTGTATATTAGAGGAGAATTTAACTATTACCGGCGGCGGCTTTATGGGTCTCCTTTTACTGTGGCCTCTTATATGTGATGAGTGAAGTGGAGAGAATGAGAATGTTTTACCCGTTTACTTCGAGGCATTTTTTCTTTTCTTATTAGTTCTCAAGGTTCTCTTGTTATTTTTGTCCTTTTCCTTGAACCTCTGTCCCATCTTGTCACTAATGTCACAAAATCTCAAGGATTTTTTCGACAGCCACACAGTATTTGACCCTGCTTCAGCCATGTCGATCGCACCATGAAAAGTATCTCATCCGGCGCCGCCACTGAAGAATCATAGCTCATATTGCAAGCGCATTCTCAATGGAGGTATTCATTGAGGTAATCACTTGTAGACGGGGGTGGCAATACATTACCTGGCCATACTTGGTGACCTCATATCAGGAAACTCTTTGAGTGAATAAGACCTTCTCCACATACTCAGAGTACCGCCACAATCAATGCCATTGAGGGCCACGTTTGCTTCGCGATATTTCCAAGCATTACACTATAATGTTTGTAGAGAAGTCTTTTTCTCGAGCGATGAAATGTGGCCGCTGTGACGGACACCAACAATGCTTTGCGGCTTTTTCATGGGCCTTATAAGGTGGAAATCGGCTTCAATACCGATAGAATTTTTATCCGGCCTTCTGTGACATCGTGATTCATATCCAAGAAGTGTCTGGCATAGAGAAATCAATAATTGATGTGGTCAATAGTGACCCAAATCATGTATCTATAAACAGTTCCAATACAATAGTTGCAATTACTATCACATAAATAGATTGTGAATTTCCCATATTTTCAATGAGCCAAATGCGGTTGCAGTTCCTATTGCTTGAGATTAGACGCATATTTTATTATGTATTTCACACTGCTGCTTTGTATAGCAATTCTAATTCCATCTTGTCTTCCTTCTGCTATACCAAGCCAGGTATTATCAAATAATAAGAGAGCTTCAGCCTCAACTTGCTTAAATTCTGCATCTTCACGGAATTGTTGGAATGGTAAATATTCGATTGATACAGATTCGGAGGAGGCATGGCCAAATACTGGGGTTGTTGTTGCTGTATGTATTAAATGCGTTGACCAAGTTGTTCATATCTCATTCTTCTCAGTATACTCTTATCATAAAAAACCAGACTATGTCACCCGACGGTACACCAAGATGGATGTTAGTAGTCAACGGCACTTACCCAGGTCCTACCATTACTGCAAGTGAGTTCTTTCCATTGTGGCCCCCGCTACCCAGTGCAATGTTGGCTCATCTCTTCACAGACTGGGGTGATACACTGGAAATTACTGTTGTCAATCAAATAATCACAGACGGGTAAATATCTCCCCTGCTTTTCATATCCCACTATCAAATACTAAGTCTATTTAGTGTAAGCATTCACTGGCACGGGATTGTCCAGAAAAATACTAATACCATGGATGGTGTGAATGGAATAACAGAATGTCCAATTCCACCAGGCTCATCCAAAGTCTACAAATTTCTCGCAACCCAGCACGGTACCTCTTGGTATCACTCCCACCATGCAGCCCAATATGGCGATGGAGTTCTTGGAAGTATCGTCATAAACGGTCCTGCTTCGCTGAACTATGACTACGATCTCGGTCCACTGCCAATTACTGATTTCTATTATAAGTCTACTTATGAAGAAGGCCTTCTCTCTGTTAGTAAAGGTCCTCCAAAAGCAGACAATGGCCTCATAAACGGAACGAACCGAAACCCTCACAAAACCGCTGGAGCGTACAATCAGGTATCAGGACTAGTTCCAGGAGCAAAATATCGTTTACGAATCATCAACACGAGTATAGACAATCATTTTCAAGTCACTTTAGACTCTCACTCTTTTCAAGTGATTCAAACTGATTTCGTACCGATCCAGCCCTACACTACCAACACCATCTTCATAGCAATTGGCCAACGATATGATGTAATCATTACAGCTGATCAAACGCCTTCTAATTACTGGTTCAGAGCCATTGTTCCCAAACCTCCGATACAAAAGGGGTTTGGCTGCGGTCAAAATGCCAATAATGGGTCTATCAAAGCCATTTTCTCGTATCAGGGTGTCGAATCATCGGAGCCAGATTCCAAATCTTTTCTTATACCCCAAAGCTGTGAAGATGAGACTCACCTAGTCTCCTGGCATGAAAAATCTGTGCCCGAGAATGAATTCTTGTGGCCTACTGCCCAAGAATTAATTGTTACAGGGCCAGGTAGTAATTCGGTTCCAAAAGTACCTGCACCATATGTCTGGAGTATCAATGATACATACATGGAAATTGAGTGGGATAAGCCCACGCTCCAATATGTTGCCCAAGGAAACAAGAATTATAACGTACACCAGAGTATCATTGAACTTCCAGATGCAAATGTATGGACATTCTGGATCATCAAAAATGCTGCCGCGATACCACACCCTATTCATCTTCATGGTCACGACTTTTACATTTTAGGACAGGAGAATGGGGTCAATTTCACAGACAAATCTAGTTTGAACTTTGCTAAGCCTGCTCGGCGTGATGTAGCCATGCTTCCAGCTCTCGGATACTTAGTTATTGCATTTGTTACGGATAATCCTGGGGCTTGGTTATTACATTGTCATATCGCGTTCCATGTCGGGGAGGGGCTTGCGCTTCAATTCCTAGAACGTGAATCAGAAATTGCGCAAAGAGTAAATCTTTCCACTGTAGATGCGGGTTGCAAGAGGTGGGATACATGGTATAGTATCGAGCGGGTTGATAATGCTTGGAACACAGAATTTGATTCGGGTATTTAAGCTGATAATGATATTTGGCGGCGTTCTGGTACATATCTATTGCATGGGAAAATTCTTTGTTCGTTAAATGTATTTATTTGGTGCTCTTCCGTCGGCTGTAGTCATGAATTGTTTTGACCGCCATTACACCCGTTCGCGAAATTATCCCCTAAATCGCTGAAAATGGGCTCCATTGCTTAACAAAGACTTATTAACCAATCAGATTATTAGGATTCCTTGAATTTAATTCAATACTTATATTCATTTTTTAATATAAAATTCAATTAATATTATTTTTGTATCAAAATCTCGAATATAGTAATATATATTAATTCTCAATCTTAAAAAAAAATTAAAATTATAAAAAATTGAAATTGAAATCAAGACTTTATATTATAAAGAATATAATTGAAAAATTATCAAAAATAAGTATTTTATTTAATAAAACTTTATTATTCAAAGTATATTGTATGGATCACTTTCGGAGCCCAATTTCAGTGGTCTAGGGGATAAAGGGGTGAGAATTTTCAAAGCACTAGTATTTACATACCTATCGAAACAAAGTTTGAACCAGTAGGTCATTCATGAAAGCTTGCGAGGAAGGTCTGATAGTTGAAAGAAAAGGTCGAGAACAGTGCTGGTGCAGTTGAGGAGTTACAACGTAACGCCAGTGAGTTCAGATCTATGCACCACGTTTATTTTGTCAGAAAAAGCCGCGTATGCCTTGACGATAAAGATATATGGGTAGTTTAAAATTCAGACGAGAGAGTACAATATGAAAGGAGCAATCTTTTGGGGAGAGTGCAAATACTGTATACTTATAATCCCGTTCCCATGTTGGAGCAAGCAACACCGTGCCTATCTTACGGCTTGGTGGAGACGAGACAAATCAAGATTTCGTAAAGTGTCAGTTTGTGTTTGTGTTTTTATCTGGCTCTTGTTCTATTCTAATGCACAATCCTAAGGAAGACTATTACTCATTTATCATTGGAGCCAAGTATCGAACTACTATTGCATTCATTCGCTGGAATCTCCGTTACGATGATCAATTCAGTTGCCACTTGTGAATATTGTAATGACCGGAGGACTAGCCGGCGTATCATGACAGGCTAGTTGTCATGTTCGTCCAAAACGCGGGGGTTTTAATTTTGTTACATCGATATTCTGGTAACTCGAGCCTAGACTTTGACACTAAATGACCATGATTTTCTGAAGTAGTAACAATGGGATGGAGAAGGACAAATTTACTATGCCGATAATCTGCAAGAAATCTCTTTTGCGTCGTAGTTAACACTTGTTCTTGTTGAAAGATAAGTATCCGTGATTTATTTCTTTGGTCTTTCTCCTCGGATAAAGATTTTGGATGAACCCACGGTTACATATCTATGTAATATACAGTTTCTTCGAACTTTTGACGGACAGCTTCATCTCTGCGAAAATCGAGTCAGTCAAGACTTTAGTCTTTAAAGATAATCTGTTCACGCCATTTAATGCATTTGGACGTCGGACGTTGCAGAAATCTAATAAACTATAAGTAGAAGGAGTTTATACAATGCATTCTTACCTTCATGCTTGTCAAAGAACCAGTCCAAATATATGTTCTTGGTACTCAGAAAAACTGCATGTGAGAGATTTGCGTACAATTTTTCATATGAGGGATTGGCTAACTTGAAACTGGTAATCAGTGTAGCAGATACAAACGAATATCAAAGACTTGAATCTTGAACATCTCTTTACTGTCACAAAAAGATACGGTTGCTAGGAGTCTAAGATGTCTGAGTGGTGTCGTCAATAACCTTCAAGAGCTACTAAAGTTCGGTGCATATGGGCCGTCGTATTAACAATGATGTTGATTGAAATCATGATCGGCTATCATTGGATTTAAGACAATGTTTCCAAAATGCGGTCGCAAGTTTTGCTTGGGCTTCTAGCAACCTCTCCTGAAGACAGATCAGAACGTATCCTAGACCTATGTATACTCCCTCTTCCAAACTGTGCAGAATCCCGCGAAATTCTGGACAACGATGAGGCTATACAGCATCTCAATCGGATCATGTCAGCAGAACAATGGGAAAGGAGATTGGATCTCTCTAGCTCAAGATGCTTGACATCGGAAGAAGGTGCACACTTCCGACGTATTGCACGACATAAGAAAGGTGGGTGTCCTTGGCCTACGTCTGACTGTTGTGATCAAGAAGTCAGACTCCGGAGCCGGATCACAAGGTATAATAAGAGGAAAGCAGAGGAGGAAATCAAGTCATCAAGTCATGTGTGTGGATGTGATTGTGCTAGCAAGGATCTGGAGAAGTGCCAATTACGGTGCGAAGAAAACCGGGACAGAAAGCCAAATAGACTTTTGAGCCTGGAGGGAATCAAGTTCTATGCAGAAATCTTTCTTCGGGGAGGGAACGCCGATTATTAATATTGCTCACAAAAACGGTTCGACAGGACGGATTGGAATTTGTGGAAGTAGAACAATGTCAATTATGCCAAGTCAATTTTGAGGCTATGTATACACAACGACTAGACTTTACCAGTCCTTTAAATTGTATGATTATTGATATTTCAGGAATTTGGTTTTGACATGGAGGCAAAGCCACCCAGGCCTCTTACAGAATCTAAGGTTAAAAACACATCTGCAAATTTAGATTGCGATGAAAACTTGCAGTATCCATGGTGCTGAGTGTCTTGACTTGTCCCCATTGGCGCAAGTCGGTGTATGAAGTGCAGTATACTAAGAAATAATCAATCTCTGAAAGCCGTGAATCTGTCAACCTCTTAGAATTTTAAGAGAATCTGTAATCCCTAGAACGTCATGAATGCTGGATAGCCCAACACATTTTCAGTGTTTGAAAATTCGTCAATAATTGAAAACCATTGGTTTATGCTTATGTGCAGTATGGGTAGAGACAAACAGTAGGAATACCATACTATATCACATTTTTTCAATCAATCCAATTCGTCGAGAATCTCTATAAATAGCAGTCAGCATTGTCTATTGTTGAACTGCTCACACCCTTTCAGTCCAAAGAACTAATTTCAAGATTATTTCGTTTCCATCCCCCGACTAGAATATCAGCCTATGTTCCATGACCCAACCGAAGTATCAAGATGGAAATCCAAAAAAAAAAAAAAAATAGAAAAGCGCTATAACTTTGGACTGAAATCTGAGGAAGAGACTTGCAACAGCAGACATGTTCACCGAAGGGGGCCAAGGGGTGGCAGCCTAATCGTTACCCCTTGAGCCACCAATTACTGAAATTTCGACAAAATCGGACATCGAGAACAGAAACGACGTTATATAATGAGTCAAAAGTATAAATAGCCTAGGATCCGCGAACTAGTCCCCCTGCCGACCTGAAGTCATCTTTTTGAAACTGATAATCTGACAATGTCAAATATTGGAATGGGAATGGCAGATTGAGGGTAAAAATTCAAACGCACAAGTCACGACGAAAATTTAGTCATCGCATAGTTTGTGTACGGACCGTGAAGAGCCAGCAATATTCCCTCGACCTACATTCTTAGACCTGCCAGTCAAAAAATTGTACAGATGTACGCAGACCGGCCTGACTTTCGGGCGTCCCATGCAAGAACGAAACAAACTCCCCGGCACTACCAATGGACTGGATGCTTTGTGTACGCTGATACAGCCATCCCATCATTGATCCGGTAATGCCACCTGTACATACGCCCATATATTTCCGGCCCCCACTCTGATCCTTCAGCCAGCCGAGAAGCCTCTATCTACCACAGTTACGCTACACCAGCTATACCGGAATCTCACCCGGTAGTATCGCTCTAATTCTCCAGCCAGCTTTCCAATTTAGGAATCGGTGTCAAACGAAAACGGCACGGAGGCAGATGGAATCGTGTCTTAAACGAGACATCACGACATAGATATACGTGCGGACAGCCTCGAAAAGGCAAGTTGTCAGAATGACCACGTGGCTTGGCAGATGTTGTCCTACGGGTAGCTAGCATAATAATTTATTTTTGGATGTAAGACATGGCGTGGGTATGGGTGAGGCGAGACGAGGCGAGGGTATTTCTATCTTCAATGAGAAAACTCGAATGCTTGCAAAGTGTTGAAGAGCTGCTCAAATATCAAGAACAATCGAAGAAACATTGAGAGCTCATAACTCGGAATTGGCCGCCAATCATGGAGTACGACCAGCTCATGAGAGGAAGTTAAATTCTCATCCCGTCTTCCAAGCCAACTGCAACAAAATCTGCATGTCATCCCGAGCACAATCACAACATATTTCGTCTCCATTTTCTAGCAGGTTCTCGCATTTACACTTGTCCCGTTATTTCCATATTCGTTGCTTGCAAAGTAATGCGCATGAAAATTGATAAGTATACTGCGCATCATCTTTTACCGTCCCACAAACGTACGGTATTATCTGATCGCCGAGTATATTATGTCGGACTGTACTGATACTGAATTTCAAATGGGATTGATGAACTTGCGATTTGCCTCAGCTGGCAGATTTTTTTGTTCCTCAATTTCTGCCTTCCCTCTGTGCTTCCTAGCTCTTCGTATGCGAATTTCGAGATCTTCCATGGCTTTCTCGGTATTGATCAATTTCGGAATAACATCCATCAGTTTAATACTATCTTCCTTTGTATCCTTCAAAGCCTGAGGGGTAAAAAGCCCAAACATTCTTAATGGATCCTTCTTGAGAGCAGTTTTCGTATCATCATCGCCGTTTGTATCTTTTTTTAAAAGGTCCGATTCTGATTCCGACGTAGAAGATTCGTTAATGGCGAATAGAGGAGGGGTAAGTTTTGTCGATTGTGTATTCGAGGCGTTTTCGGGGATCGTTACATTACATAGCCTCTGTGCTTGAATACGATCATCATAGAAAGAGGTATCATAACGGATTCCATTTTGCGGCGTGAAATTGGCTCGGGATAAATTAATGTACATCTGTTGTCATCAGTATTAGTATGAGTACCTAGTAAAGTAGATTACCTGGTCATCACCTGGGGATGAAAAGAGGATACGGGGCTGTGTCAGTAATAATCAATGAGGGGTGAGAGGGATGAGGGGTTCAATGTATTGAACGGTATACTTTTGCGAGAAGAGATTTATAACTGACCGATGACGACAATGTGGAGAGGCTCGATCTTAAAGCACTGTATTGATCCAACAGTTGAAGGTATTGTTCTAACAGATGATCAATTTCCAGGGTAAGTTCTCGAACGGTAGAGACAGAGATAGACATGGTGAAATCCGAGATTGGTGAATTGGACTTCGATGAAAGGGGCAAAGATAAGATTAAGATATCGCAGTGATTCGTGTGTTGAGTGTTGTGTTGTGTGTTGCGTCGTTTGTTGTAATTTTTTTAATGTTATAACTCATAATATGATTCCAGCTCGAAATTTGAACATCTGAATCGTGATTCTCAAGGGAGTTTTGGAATGATAGCTACCTAGCTAGTACGGAGTAGTGGTCGAGGTAATTAGATGTAAGATTACCGAAGTACCCAGGTAGGGTAGGTACTGGCACAGATAATCTGTCACGTGTCTGTACAATTGGACTGCAAAGTGGAGAACCAGCGAGCCAGCGACTAGGATGTGATCAAGGATCATGGAAGAGGAGAAGAAAACTCGTGGAAGGTGGAGAATACCTTCCAGTCAATTAATTGGAGACTGCTTAATAAGGAAATCCGGTCGATTAATTATCTACTCGAGTCTCTACTTGGTACTTCAGGCAGGAATGCAAAGTAAGTCAAAAAGGGAAGAAATGAAGATATTGATGATGTGATGTGATGTGATGTGATGTGATGTGATGTGTTGTGTTGTGTTGTGTTGTGTTTTTACGAAACATGGCACCAAAAATGATAATTGGTGATGATAGGCCATGCATGATTGATGATGGTATTTAATTTCTACTACCTAGGGATGAATGATTTTTTGGTTGAACGTTAAACTTCACCACATTCAATCCATACCCAGCGACACACACATTCAACCCTTTTTTCGAGGTTGACAACGCTCCGCTGGGCCACTGACGGGGAGGCTGTCTCGCTTCGCTCGTGGTAGAAAAGGAGAGTATTCCAGGCATTGGAGTTGGAATTTGCTTTTGATAAGGCTGTTAGCTGCTATGAAACATTTCCCTCTTCCCTCTTCCCTCTCCAGGCTTTGGTAGTATACACTTTGTACTTCGCATTGAAAACAAGAAAAGAGAATCCTGGACGTTGAATGCCATTTACTTTTTCTCACTACCCATTCTACCACCGCCTATTACCTACACGGTTGTAACTTATTAGTTGCAGGTGTAGGGGCATTGGTTGCAATCAAGGGTTCTGTCGCATTGATACGTAGATAATCAATATTCTGCTCTGGTATCCCGCCCTATCTATCTGCTTCGGACCCCTACCTGCCTTGCCAGCATGGCCTGCCTCAATCTAGGCTTGCCCTTTCTTTCTCTCCCTCCTTTACCCACCTTGCTTATTTTGCCCTACCTGAGCTGGTCCATTGTAACAACGTGTTGAATGCTGGGGGGTATAAGCAAACTCCTGGTGTTTGATTTTCAGCAGGAGGAGTTTGAAGATTTCAAAAATATTCCATCAAATTGCTTTATACTTTCTTCCACCTTATCTTCTTCCAATTGGACGGGAAAGGGGAAGAGACAGCAATAGGAACAGGAGCAGGAACAGCAACTAGAGCAAGATCAAGATCAAGGACATCCAAGAGGGAAAAGCACACCGATACCTACGACATCTACCTAGCTAGATACCCATTTATTCATTCATCCCCTTAACTCACCGTGTTGAGAAGCCATTGAGAAAATAACCTTGACAAGTTAAGCCCAATTTTTATTCAGTGGCTGCCTTTCCAAGGTCCCGACTTCCCCGTCTTTTACCATATTACTCGTACACAGTTAGAAGAATGAAGTCAGAATCAAGTCAGTACAATACAACACAACAATACCACCGGTACGTAGACTAGAATGCAACCAAAGTAATGAATCAAAAGGAGCACGAACCACCGAACCACCAAAATACCCTCCTTGCATCGCCGAAACCATTAAAATCCATTGAGATCCGTTTACCCAAGTGCCATATCAAGGCATTCATAGAAAAATTTAAAATACGCGAACCATACAACAACTACAGTAAATCATGGTGATAATACCTAGGTAATGATAGTAATAATAACAACAATAATAACAACCGTAATAACAATCATAATACCTACGAAGAGTTTCTCCCTAGTAAAAAAGGGGAGTAGATACAAGAAGGAGTTTAATTATTATTATCTTCATCCTCATCCTCATTCGCATCCTCATCCCATTTCTATCCCATCTCATCCCATCCCATCTCACCCCATCCCCATCTCATCCCGATCTCATTGTTGTCTTGTCTTGTCTGGTCTGGTCTGGTCAATTTCCTGCCTGATTAATCAGACCTCCAAAATAAATCAAAAAAGATTGGAAATCGTTTGCTCATATTGCATGCATTATTACTTTCCTGGATCAATCTCATTCAACTCGTTCTCGTGTATTCATTCAACCTCAACCCCTACTTTCAGTCAATTCAATTTAATTCAATCTTTCAAATCTTTCATTTCGCACACATCACATTCAATCATCCTCTCTCAATCAATTATCACCACCGCTCTTATCGAACGTCATTTTGCATACAATCAATTCCTACAGACCGAGCGCAACCCGATACAACCATCGAACGTCTTCTTACGTTTATTGAATTGATCACTGAAGAAAGTGGATTTGAAAGACCGATTTTCTCCCAGATATTCAAGAACGGGTTATTGTTGTATCTAGGCAAAACGGAACAATGGTTGTCGCAACGATAAAGTTTGTATTTCCTTCATAATTCCTTATTCCTCTCCGTTGTCTTTCTCTTGGACAATTGCGTAGCTTCATTGGGGGTTGATGATCATGATGAAGTCGCTGTTGTGGCATGGATTGAACAATGATCTCGGAGAATTCCCTTGTTTCAATGACTTCAATCATAGCTAACATATTATATCGATCGGTAGATGTGTCGTCGTCGGTGACGGTGCTGTCGGAAAGACTTGTTTACTTATATCATACACTACGAATAAATTCCCTTCCGAATATGTTCCTACAGTCTTCGATAACTATGCCGTCACAGTTATGTGAGTTTGATTTTACACCGTCATCTCTCAACTTCATTTCTGCCATCTCTTCAACACATTTGCAACAACAGGATATTGTTCTGATCATGAATTTATTAGGATCGGTGATGAACCATATACACTCGGTCTATTTGATACTGCCGGACAAGAAGATTATGACAGACTTCGACCACTTTCGTATCCACAAACTGATGTCTTCCTTGTTTGCTTTTCGGTAACCTCGCCCGCATCATTCGAGAACGTACGAGAGAAATGGTTTCCAGAAGTTCACCATCATTGCCCCGGCGTACCTTGTTTGATCGTTGGTACACAAACCGATTTGAGAGATGATCCCAGTGTCAAGGAAAAACTTACAAAACAAAAGATGAAGCCGGTCGAAAAGAGTGATGGTGAGAGGATGGCTAAGGACTTGGGAGCTGTTAAGTACGTTGAGTGCAGTGCTCTGACTCAATACAAATTGAAGGATGTCTTCGATGAAGTATGTATCTCTTGATTCTAGCATGCGGCACACCTTCTACCGAGGTATTCGTGAAAAGAGAGAAAGTGCTGACTGTGAGTAGGCGATTGTCGCGGCATTAGAACCTCCTGCGCCAAAGAAGAAACAGCATAAATGTTTAATTCTTTAATTCAACTGTTTTACATAGACCAAACAATTAACTTTCTACCTCACCTTCTTTCGTACCGCTTCTCACCGCCACCTCTCCCAATCATTCTTTCATATCTCATTGTCCATATCCTCTTCGAGCAATTACATAAGTTCGGAATATCCTAGGGTTGTATCACCGTGGAGGGAATCAAAGTTACGTTACATATTCACATATCACCGGACTAGTCGAGAATCGACATCTTGCATCTTCAAATCGGAAATGGGGGTATGATGCGTCATCTTGAAACGGCTAGGAAATCTCTAGGGGAAGAGTAGCGAATAGAATCAAGGGACGATACAGTGTTTCCGCATCGAGCGAGATTGTATGTTCTGGACAGAATTTGGATTATCAATCTTCTCAATCGATTTACTGGGGCAGGACTTTGAGCTTTGTGGGAATGGGGGAGGTAGAGAAACGGGTTGACGTGCGAAAGCTTTTTATTTTCTTTTTACAGTCCTCTCTTGTTACTTTGATCCGAAGAATCGATTCCCAGACAGTCTGCTTTGATTACCTCTTTTTTCTATATGGCGTGTGGGCTGGGGTGTTTTGTAGGTAAAGCGTAAGGGGGCAGGAGTGCAATATACAGAATTTTGATACCTTGATACATCTTATTGTGAGCTAAAATATTTAAATCGATAGCTTGTGTCGGGTTCGAGAAACTTGGATCTGAAAGAATACAACCGCAGGGAGCGTCGTGCGCAAAGAAGAGGGAGATTTATGATTCCTCGAGCTCGATTTACATAAGAAAGACATGGCGTTATGTCTACAGGTATTTCCGATGAGCTGAAATCAATTAATGGAATCGAATGATATTCACCACCGTTTTATTTCCTGTAACGTGAGTCGATTCGAGTTGACTCTGTAATCTGTCGGCAACTCATCTCACAAGCATAACATACATAGCATAGCATGGCTCTGAGTTTACATGTGTAACTGTTTGTAATGTAAACCAATAAATTGGAGCTTCAATGCGCGAACAAAAAGTCTCGACCCGGAGCTTGAAGATAAGGGACAATGGTGATAGGCTCGGGACTCCGATATTAGTGGACAAGTGGACAGACAAACTTAGACAGACCGTTCGAAGTACCGAGCCGAATCGCTAGCTGGCTCATCGCGGGGAACGTTCCCATTGTAAAACTTATCAATTACTTATGTAACGGATTCTAATCAATGGCAAAGATACCCATCCATACGTGATACAGCTTATCAAAGTCACTCTTCAGCAAAATATTTGACAATTGAGAGGGCGTGCTATCTATAATGGAACATAAGTTCTTACAGAGACAAACATTTTTGTTCCTATATCAAGACAATATCCAGCGGCTCCCCACCATAGATCTTTTCTGTTTGCCGTCTTCTTCCTTCAGCCGTTTGGACATACCAACACAAAAATCTTGGAGAGGACAAACAAGCAATGAAGCTCTCCATCTTCAAGTCATTGTCATTATTGGCAGCATGTGGGGGTTTTCTACCAACTTTTGTGGTGGGGCATCAGCATGATGAAATGGCACAGCAACACTTGAATGCAGAGAGATTGAGACTTGAAAAGGCCGATGGAGGTGTGAGTAAGGAAGAAAAGCAAGAATTGGAGAGACTTTGGGGGTTTGAGGTCAGTCATTTTTGTTTTCCCAAAGTTTTGTTAAAAGCATGTTGGTGCAGAAGAGAGACATGATTATGAGAGTACTATGGTGAATAGTCGAGAAATTGTGATAGTGATGGGGTTATATTCTTGTCTTGTGGATTGATGACTTGATGATAAGACTCTTATT